AGGAATCCTATTCGGAATAAGAGAATTTCCCTTTAAAAAAGAGAAACGTTGACAGCTATGCTTATGGATCAACAGAGCTGCCTTGTTATTTATTTATTTTTTTACAAGGATTGTTGCAAATACTCTCCCATTATAGCCATCCCCAGATACCTCCTCTCCTCACATTAGACATTATTTTCAGGTTTAACTTTGTATTTAAACTTCCAGAGGAAATTTCCTTGCTGAGCATCTCATGTAACCAAGGCAGGCCTTTATTAAACTTTTATCTGAAACCATTAATCACACAGAGTAGTACCTGAATTTCTCAGAAATATTGATAGCCATGACTGATAAAGTATGAAGTGCTTCATCAAGTCAAGTCTGTACATCAAGTTTAGTAAGAAACCGGGAAGTAGAAGGGGCAGCCCCTGTGTACTATAATCAACCAGACTCGTTGCTCTTGTACATAGAACCATGTCACTGAGACTCGGGATTATCCTTTGCATAGAATTCCCAATCAGTCCAATTTGGAAATTTGCTGAGATGCATCACTGGAAACATAAATCAACACTAAAGTAGGTCATCCTGTAGCCACATAATAACCTTGATTACATACAAATTAGAAATGGCAAATTCACCAGACAGCAGATTTATCTTTGTTACGTACAAAGGGTGCGTGCACAACAGGAACTGAGAGTACCAAACAGCTCATGGATTTTCCTCACAGGGAGAATGCTTAATTCTTCCTTTTACATTTTATCTGGAAAGAGTAGGAAAGGAAGAGCAATTTACTCCCGTGTATCCTAAAAGGAAACTTTCTGGAGTCAAAGTCCTCTCCTGACGTTTTGCGTCATAGAATCTATGAGATTGGTGTACGTCTTTCGGGGAGGAGGCAAGACCGGTCTCCAAGTTGTTTTTAAAAAGCCCAAAGGAGGCAGAATTTTGCTGAATATCCTCATCTGACTTGTTCAGTCTCATTAACCACAATGATTTGCTAACCCTTCATAATCAGCACGTTATGCATTTTACACATTGCTAATAAAATGCTAACGATTTCAGAGCCTATGAGCCATAAATTTCAGACAATCATATAAAATGTTAACACTTTCTGTAAACAAAAACACTTTAAAAATGTTTTCAGGAGGTGAACCATTAAATATGAAACTAGTTGGTCTTTTCATCTATTTATTAAAATTAACTATGGCATTCATAAATAATCGATGTAGTATATTATTCAGTCCCATAGGTACGGAATTAAGTACGATATAAAGGGAAAGCAATATATTAAAAATGCAGTAATACGTAAGTGTTGCCATCTTGGAAAGGCAGCTACGTTGCAGATATACAAAACTCAAGGAACTAGGAATGTGCACAGAGCACATTCAGCACTTCTGGAAATAGTCTGTCCCAGTAAAAGTGCTTCATAGGTTGAGTCAGTTCAGCATCTATCCAAGTCCACTTTGCCCACGCCACCCGACCCCCAGCAATTCACTGTTGAATAAATTAAAAAGCAACTATAACCCGTCCCCCCTTTTACACAAGTGTGTGGAATTTGCTGGCATTGTAATTCCTCCAGAACTAATGACAACCACCAAACTACAAGCACATAGTTCCAGAGATTTGAAGGTTGGGAATCTTTAACATTATTGTTTTTTTAAAAATGAAATGACTGTAACTTTTTATTATAGTTAATTCTGTAGCAGAAGTGCATGAAATGTGCAGGCAAGGTCACTCTTTCAGAGGGCATGAATTCTGCCAAATTTTAGAACAGCACCTGCAGAACAGCTTCCTGCAAGGGCAGCCTGTAGAGTTTGGGGTGTGGGTTTTTCCTGAGCAATTGGTTGAAAATTGCAGGCATGAGAGATGAGACCCCAGATAAGAAATCTGCAAAATTGTAGATAGGTCAACAGGTTTTTGTGCTAGGCCTCTTTAAACTTTTATTCCCCACCCCCACCCCGCCCAAAAGAACAGTCTAAAAAACAAACAAACTTCAGGGTATACAGTGGTACCTCCGGTTGCGGACGGGATCCATTCCAGAGCTCTGGTTGGATCCTGAGGTTTCTTCAACCGGAGGGACCGCTTCTGCGCAAGCGCACAGGGTGGTAAAGCGCTTTTGTGCATGCACATGCGGCAAAAAACCAGAAATACACTTCTGGGTTTGTCGCTTATGTATTCCGAAGTTTACGTAAGCGGAGGGATATGTAAGTGGAAGTACGACTGTAATGGCATTTGCAGGCAAAGTCACTCCGGAGGGCATGATTCCTAGAGCATTTTTGAAATGTAGCTTCAATTGTTTTCCTGCAAGAGCATCCCTTGCACTTTTTGGGGTGGGTAAGAAAAGTAATGGCTTAACCTCCACTAGTAATTTGTGGGAATTGGTCTGAAAATTGCAGAGATGAGAGTGATTACCATGGTGGGAAATGTGCCACATTGCAGACAAATATGTTAATGGGCTTTTGGGCCAGGCACTTTTAAAGTTGATTTAGAGAGGGGAAAGAGAACTATTCATTTTCTTTCTTTCTTTCTTTTTAAAAATAGATTTTATTGGAATTCAGAAAAAAGGTATACAGAAATTATTTCTTTTTTGTCAAAAGTAAAATGTTTATCCAGATAAAAGCACAGTTCCAACACCGGGGTGGATGCAAATGTTCAAGTGTTGGGATGCAACTCAGCTTGTTGGTGGACTGTCCAAGCTCCCTGGACTGCCCTTCTTGATCTACCCTGAGCTGACCTTCCCTCGGTTGCTAAACTGATACTCCTAGGACTCCTTCCTCCTTCCCCATCCTCACCATGGAAAGGGAGAGAGCCATCTTTTGCCTCCCTCCTGCTGAGATGCAGGAACAAGCCTGACTCAAGGTATTGCCACCTAGTTGGATACAACCAGGGATCTTTCCTATCAAGTACAGTGGTACCTCAGGTTAAGAACTTAATTCGTTCTGGAGGTCCGTTCTTAACCTGAAACTGTTCTTAACCTGAGGTACCACTTTAGCTAATGGGGCCTCCCGCCGCAGCCACACAATTTCTGTTCTCATCCTGAAGCAAAGTTCTTAACCTGAGGTACTATTTCTGAGTTAGCGGAGTCTGTAACCTGAAGTGTCTGTAACCCGAGGTACCACTGTGTGCACTTTTTGCAATAAGTGTAGCTTTATTGTTTTCCTGAACTCAGAGTCTCTGTGTGATCATATCCAGGGACAAGTGTGCTCCTGCAGCAAGGAAATAGGGTCAGGTTGGACTAGATAACCCTTGTTGCTGTTGTTGTTGTTTAGTTGTTTAGTCGTATCCGACTCTTCGTGACCCTCTGGACCAGAGCCTGCCAGGCACTCCTGTCTTCCACACCTCCCGCAGATTGGTCAAACTCATGCTGGTAGCTTCGAGAACACTGTCCCCCCATCTCGTCCTCTGTCGTCCCCTTCTCCTTGTGCCCTCCATCTTTCCCAACATCAGGGTCTTTTCCAGGGAGTCTTCTCTTCTCATGAGGTGGCCAAAATCTTGGAGCCTCAGCTTCAGGATCTGTCCTTCCAGTGAGCACTCAGGGCTGATTTTCTTCAGAATGGACAGGTTGGATCTTCTTGCAGTCCATGGGACTCTCAAGAGTCTCCTCCAGCACCATAATTCAAAAGCATCCATTCTTTCGCGATCAGCCTTCTTTATGGTCCAGCTCTCACTTCCATACATCACTACTGGGAAAACCATAGCTTTAACTATACGGACCTTTGTTGGCAAGGTGATGCCTCTGCTTTTAAAGATGCTGTCTAGGTAGATAACCCTTCCAACATGACAATTCTATGACTCTGTTATTCCACTGAACATTTTAATGCCTAACATCAACTAGGGAAGGGTGGGCCAGGGGATGAGAGGGTAACCAGGCCACTGACTAACCCATTCAAGGAATTGCAGAGTTGGACGTGGACCCAGGGGGTCATCTAGTCCAACATGGCCCCCTGCCTGCCCTGTATTTTACCACGCCTGCATTGCAGGCGGTTGGACTAGATGGCCCAGTTCATAGATCTGGGGACCTAAGTTTGAGAAAGGCTGATTAAGACATTCTCCTCTGACATCCACCTTCCCATATGCCTGAGTTGTTGTTTTTTCTACAGAGGAGTTGTCTGAAGAGATATAGATCAGAACCAGGCTGGCCACCTCACGAGAGCAGACCTACAAAGAGCTCTGCTTGCCTGCTGAGTTAATTCATACCACGGCCATTACCAGGCTTCTAAATGGCTGAGTCTGTTCTTAGCAGAAGGCAAATATTTGCTGGATTCTGTCAAGCCAGGCCTCCACACATTTTTAATGTACCTTAGACCCCTGTAGTGTGCACGCGAATTCTATAAATATTTGGTCTGTATTTTTTCTGCACTTGCCACAGCGAAAATCAGTGTAAACCTGGAATAGCAATGTTTTCCTTCCAAAATTGTTGGATGATGTTAGGAGTATCGGTTGGTTGCTCGAGAGCAATCAGGCAATAAGCTTCAATAGTCTGTTTTAAAACGTTTCTTATTGGTGATAAAAACCGTTAGAATGCAGAGTGCCACTATTTCGTGGCTCGCTCATTCACTGGCAGAATCTGAGAGTGGGAGGTCCTCAAATCTTCCCCAGCAAAGTAGTTTCTTGACGCCCAGTCTGCGCCTCCCCACTCTGCGCGGAAGCCTACTGCGCAAGGAAGGCGTGGGTAACGGGGGACCTCTTTCCTCCCCACTTTGCTCAGGCAAGGTGTCCTGGCACCGCCTCGCCTCCTCCGAGCCCTGCATCTCCTCCCCACTAGAGGAGTGGTTGCCTTCCTCTGCTGAGGAAGTGCTGCTTCCCATGATCTTTGGGGGCTCTCTGTAATCTATCCGGCTTTTCCCCTCTTGCCCCTGTGCCGATGGCAGTTCCCTGACAGATGATGATGATGATGATGATGATTATTTTAGTGGCGGAGATGGTAGTATCAGCAGTTGAGGGGTGTGTGTGTGTTGTGGGAGGACACAGTCTGTGTTGGGAATGCTACAGGATTTCATTTGTTCCATAACTGTAAGTGAGGCAGCTTGATAGCTCAGTTGGTAGAGCATGAGACGGATGAACCCACGGTCGTGGGTTTGAGCCCCATGTTAGGCAAAAGATTCCTGCATTGCAGAGGGTTATGTTCCCTTCCAACTCAACAATTCTATGAGCTATGTGTTGATCAGAACAGTTAATTTTTGGTTTTCACACTTTTCTGAATTTTGTGGCATTTTAAAAAAGTGTTATAAGTAAAGATGCACACAAAAACATGTATTTTAAAATGAAATGAGTACAAAATGCATATTCTAGGGCAAAATGCATACCCCAGAATGCAAATGTTCATGCATTTACAAAATAAAAATCACAGAATGGGATGGAACAGACTTACGAATGAACTGACATGGGCCAGAAATCCATCCATTTATCATCTAGGCTAGTTGGAAAACCAATCTGCAGCCCCTGACAGATTTGGTCATGCCAGCGTAAGTGGTCACTTCTACATTGTTGGACTTTGAGGCTGCTTGCATATATTTCATTTAATCCGCTTGTTGGTTGACCAAGGAAGTCTCTCAGACTGTTGGTATACTGTATACTATTAATTGCATAATGATTAATTTCAGTCTTCATTCAATGCAAACAAAGTGACATCATATTTTGAGCTCTGCACTGGCTCTCATTTTGGGCTGCGGCTGCAGCTGCAGTGGATCTTTAGTAGTCAGTATGAAAAGCTGATCTGGCCTTGGCTATTCAGTAGTGCTTGATACCAATTAATACACACATTGTACCGCCAGCTTGAATGTTAATTAAAACCTATTAGCTAGATCAAGACAGAATTTCTGAACTAATTATGTTTCCAGGGGGAAATAACCCTTTCCTGTTTAATTATGCAAGAAGATAATACAATGGTTAAAATATAGTTTGTTTTCTGTCAGAAAGCAGAAGGGACAGAGTAGTTATGCTAAAAGAACATTTGTACACCATTCAGCTTGCTTCAAGTACTGTGTGCTCACAACCAAAGGGGAGGGGTTCTCATGGGGAACCGCAAAACCCCAAACCCCAATTGTATAAAAATGAAAATGTACTCTCTGTACTCTTAGAGCAGGTGTGGAGAAGCTTTGGCCCTCTTGATGTTGCTGAACTACATTCCCATCAGGCCCAGCAAGCACAACCAATCGGCGAGGATGATGGGAGTTGTAGTTAAGCAACAGCTGGAGAGTCAAAGGTTCCTGCACACCTGTCTTAGAGCATGCATAGTTGTGTGTTCACCCCACAGCTCTGAGCACTGAGCAGTTCCAGGGGCTCTGTTATGTACTGAGTTGAATAGGATCCAAAATGCAGCAGTCTGATTGGTCCTAGAACAATAGGATTCAGAATGCAGCAGTCTGATTGGTCCACAGAAGCCACCCAATCCAGCTCCAGGTGGAAGAGAATCCGCAACCTGATTGGCCTACAGGAGAATCCCAGAATTAGCCAATCACGTGCAGCCCATTGTGTAAATAATGTATATAAAGCAGATACTGTGGGGGAACTTCCATTCCTCCTCACTACTATGAGCTGAATAAAGAGCATGAAATCCACTCTCGACTCCAAGTATATTTCAGGCTCAGTGCTCAACTGAGTTTAATTTCCTTTCAAATGGGTTCACTGGAGACTTGTGGCATTTTTTAAATATTTGGATTTATTAAGAATATTGCGGGCATCTGTCTGTCTCGAGAGAGAATGGAGGCTGCCTCTGGGGTTGAAGTCAATAGCAGCACCAAAGTGCTGTTCTCTCATCCCTATCACCTGAACCTCTTCCCTAGGTGTAAGCCTGAGACGTGTGTCTGGAGGTTCTGGGCTGCCCAGACAACAAGAACCCCCTCTTGCCCTCACTGTTGTGTGTTCAGACCTTTAAACCTCCCCCTTAAATAAATTCAGACAAAACTCAAATTTTGGTTCGGTTTTTGGCAGAATTTAGGCCACAGCTTTATTGATTACAGCAAGTGAGTAGTTGCATAGGCTCTGGTTCGGCTAGCTCCCTGGACCGTGGCAGGTAGTGCTGACCCAGGGCACCAGCATAGGTCAGCCAAGGGTGAACACCTGGATAAGCAGAAAGCTGGGAAGAGGCTAGCTCCACCACCCAGATGCCCCCCTGGACCCAGGCACGGGCACAACCCCCTCTCAGGGGTTGACCAAACCATCGAGTCCCTGGATTCCTTTAATTGAATACCCTTCACATAGGGATGGCGAGAGCGTTCTCCCATTCCTATCCCCTGAACCAGAGCCTATCCTCAACCTTAGAAGTTGTGACAATTTGCTACGTGGCAGGCGAAACCCAAATGGCACCAGCCAATCAGCCAAGTGGGGGAAATTCCTGCCGTGCCCCTGTCCCAATGACAGACGACACACGACGGCATAGCAAGGTAAAGCGCACAAGCCCTAAAAGTAGGGAGAGGCGGGCGGGTGTTCCGATGCACACACTGAAAGAGGAAGCTCTGGGTCACGTGCCTGGGTATATATGGGTCCCTTGATCCATTTAGCCTGCGTCCCATTGGCCTGATTAAACCCAGCAATGAGGGACCTACCAATTGGGTGTTGTGGCTAACCAAGGTTACCCACCCACAACGCAGGGTTTGGTTGCCAGGTCTCACCGCAACACGTGCCCTCTTTAAGGGAGGACCCAATTTGTGGTCCAAAGGAAAGCAGAGCAATGTGCTTGGCTGCAGGAGTTGCTGGAATGTCGGGATCTCCGCTCGGCCAAGCTGAAAAGCTCATTTTCTTCCCCCGAGTCCTTCGGAATCGCCTCCCGACGTGTTTAACGACCTGAGCCTTTGATAAGGCTCCAAGGCACGTTCCATTCAGCAGAGTTTCCAGCACAGGAAAGAGACGAGAAGTTTGGGCTACATTGCAAAGAGTTTTATTATCCTAACTACACAGACAAAAAAAATCCTCTCTCTATGAAAGCAGAGAGCAACCAGAACAAAGGAAACAGGAAACCACTAACGTCACATCCGTCTCCTCTCCTGTGAGACTTCCAAGAGTCTGGACTGTCTCTGGAATGTAAACAGAGCCTTGTGACTCTAAGCAGCTGCTCAGGGGCAAAACAGAAACTAACAGGCATACCAAGGCGCCATCTAACCATCTTAGAGACTCCATTCTAGATTTGTGTCAAAGATATCCTGCAAGGCAGCACAGGTTTAGAATGAGGGTTTTCCTTCTCCTAGGCAGACTATCTTCCCAGGTTGCTGAGCCCCACCTGCCCCTCACTTCCCTCTACAGCACATGCAAAAGCAACCTTCTTGACCATCAAACCAAGGGCGGAGGAAGGGGGGTGCGGACCTCCTGGGTGTCACCACTGAGGGGGGTGACAAAATGCTGGGCGGCACTCACTGCGGGGCCTGCAGTGCGCCCAAGCCACACATCTTTCCTGGGAGAGACACTGTGGCTTCAGCGTGTTCAGGCTCCGCGCTGCCCAAACAGTCCGCCCGCTGCCTCCCCCCAGCTGTAGGAATGGGAGGTGGCAGGCAGACACTGGAGGCCCCACGGTGCGCCCCACCCCTATGGGTGGCTCTCCCCGCCCCAGGCACCCGAGCGGCTTCCTCCGCCGCTGCATCAAACTTACTATTGGTCTCAGTGATGTATGGAAGTGAGAGCTGGACCATAAAGAAGGCTGATTGACGAAGAATTGATGCTTTTGAATTCTGGTGCTGGAGGAGACTCTTGAGAGTCCTGTGGACTGCAAGAAGATCAAACCTCTCCATTCTGAAGGAAATCAGCCCTGAGTGCTCACTGGAAGGACAGATCCTGAAGTTGAGGCTCCAATACTTTGGCCACCTCATGAGAAGAGAAGACTCCCTGGAAAAGACCCTGATGTTGGGAAAGATGGAGGGCACAAGGAGAAGGGGATGACAGAGGACGACATGGTTGGATAGTGTTCTCGAAGCTACCAGCATGAGTTTGACCAAACTGCGGGAGGCAGTGGAAGACAGGAGTGCCTGGCATGCTCTGGTCCAGGGGGTCACGAAGAGTCGGACATGACTAAACGACCAAACAACAACAACTCAATCCACTGGAGCCCTCTTTGCACGCAGAGAGAGTCCCGAACTCCAAGGTGGACAAACTACCCTAGAAGGAGCACAATGTGTGCCCCACCAAAGATACTACCTCTCCCCTAGCACTTCATACATTCCTACTTAGAATAGACAACTTGAGCAGATGTGGAGGGAGACTTTAAACATGCCAACAAGTAGCCAAAGTCCACCTCACCCATCCATCCACATCAGATCTCCAGAGGAAGAGAGACAACTCCCCAAAAGGCCATTAGCCAACGGAGCCCAAAGTTCAGCTTTGCTTCTCTCGCTTAGACTATCCCAGTTCCACTGTTTTTACTGTCTTCTTTCACAGGGAGACTGCTAGCTGACAACATCAAGCTGGGGCAGGGAGAAAGGGAGGCCTGTTTCTACCCTGTTCAGAAGACTTAAGGAAGGCTTAAAGAATAATCAGTTCCCATGGAAACATATCACCTGTTGTTTGCCTAAGAAAAAATACGTGCATTTTCATTTTATGGATTTCTTGTTTAACCCATAAGCCCCATGCAATTTCGCCTAATACTGCCAAGTTCCACAATTTGCCATGCCATTCATTTATTACAAGGATTTTACTTCAGCTCCCGTATTTAGTACACACTAAGTGTTTTGCTGCAATCGTGTAAAAACATATTCTTTGTTCTTGTGCACTACCCCTTTCAAACAAATTAATAAATAGATTTTAGAGACTAAAGAAATATTGGATCACAAAATCTTATTATCGTTGAAGCCATTCCTTGCCGGTAATGTAATAGACATTATAATGTAAGGCTGTCTAAAACACTGCCTGAGGAATTTTGAAAAGCTCTGGGCTTTCTTTTTGTTTGTTAAAGCAGAGCAATATAGTGTGATTTTTTTAAAACAACAACAACAACTGAAGTTTCTAACTTTTTAAAAAAGAATGCCTTTTTTTTGTAAAGAGCTCTTCAGTAGGGATGGGGGTGGTGGTTGGATAATTTGATTAAGTTCTCATTTAAAGGTGAATCTACCAGTTTACACTTCCCACAACACAGCTATCATTCAAAATGGACACCTATCTGAAATTTATGGT